CGAAACCCGAATTCTAGCGTTGTAAGTCCGCAGACATACCGCTGTGCCACTGGGGGGCGTTCTATTAAGGACAGTTTATTGTACTTGTATTGATTATGTAACAAAATGATTGTCTTAAAAAAAGATATCAAGGTAGGTTAATTTATAATAACAATAAATGATTTTGTATTTGCTATAGCACAGCATATTGTGTAGCTTTGTGCTTGATTCCAAACAAACAAACAAACCTGAATAGAACAGATGAAACTTATTAAATTATGGTTTACTTCTAAGGAAGAGTGCGTGCGATATACCTCAGCAAAATAATGTCAAAGTTAAGTAACTTGATTATGTACATCTAATCATAATCAGTGTCATCTTGTGTTTGACTTTTTTTGTGTTTGGTCTGGCTCCTCTTTAAAAAAATATATTATAATTTTGTATATGTAAATTTAAGGCATTCAGGTTCAACTTATCTCAATGTGCATAGAAGTTTGCAACGTTATGATTTGTTCTTCTGTTTCTCACAAAGTGATAGCAATTAAAGATAAATAACTGTCATCTTTACAATCACACGTGCTCAGAACCAGATAAAGCAACTTTAATAATTAGTTGTTGAATTTGTTTTATCAAGTATTTGGTATTTTCAACCTAAACGGTACTTTATGCGATAAATGGACTAAATGTCCCAGGTTAGAGAACCCAAGGTTCAACCATAGCTGACCCTCAGTTAGAACTGCTGATAAGAGGAAGAACAACAAATTAGCCCCATCCACCTCCTACACTGCTACTCCTAACTTCATACGTGAGTGACTTTCACTTTTATAATGCAGTGAAAGTATCAAACCTGTTCAGCTGTATATCGCAGGCTCGAGCCTTTGACCTTCCGATATACAGCCTGGTACGCTAACTGCTAGATCACTCTCCTTATGAGACAAGGAATACATTATAGGCTAATTTGCATAAAATGTATTCACTCTGTCACTACCGCTGTTTAGTTTTGTACACTTATGTAGGATCAGTGGGGGTTTTTAATCTCTCAATGATTTACAGGAGTTGGGTACGTTATATTAAAAATGTCTTGGATCTTCACCAACGTCGCTACAGCCCATGTTACAACGCCTGATCACGCTTTATCTGATGTCCGTGTATCTTTATAGTAGTTCTGCAGAGCAGTTTGCATTGCTAAGACTCTGCCGCAAAGCTGTCATGTCTAAAGCACACCACTCTTCCCTGCTGGCTTTCAGTTATACATATAGAGTGAGAAAGTGACGGTTTTAATTTCTTTCTCCAGCTGTTTGAGATACGCGACGTAACAACGGTTGAACGAATCTGCTGTGAAGCAGCTTGTGTACACGTGACTATTTTTCTAGACAGAGATCGTTCTTAATTATATGGCATACAGTTGACTGGAAAAAGTGGAAGTATTTTTCCACTGACACATGTGATCGTGGATTCTCACTTGCTAGAAGACTCCAACTTTGTTCACCACTGCTGAGGTACAAATTGTTAAATGTCATATGTCCCTTGAGTCCCATATTAATTCACACTCTTTTACTTTCGAAATGTCTCTCTCTGTATGTCCCTTGAGTCCTAGATTGATTCACACACTTTTATTTTCCAAATGTTTCTTTCTGCATGTTCGTTGAGTCCCATATTGATTCAAACTATTTTATTTTCCAAATGTCTCTTTCTGTATATTCCTTGAGTCCCAGACTGATTCATATACTCTTTTTCCCAAATGTTTCTTTTTGCATGTTCCTTGAGTCCCAGACTGATTCATACTCTTTTATTTTCCAAATATCTCTTTCTGCATGTTCCTTGAGTTTCAGATTAATTCATTCTCTGTTATTTTCCAAATGTCTCTCTCTGCATGTTCCTTGAGTCCCAGACTGATTCATACTCTTTTATTTTCCAAATGTCTCTTTCTGCATATTCCTTGAGTCCCATATTAATTCAAACTCTTTTACTTTCCAAATGTCTCTTTCTGCATGGTCCTTGAGTCCCATATTGATTCAAACTCTTTTATTCTCCAAATGTCTCTTTCTGCATGTTCCTTGAGTCCCAGACTGGTTCATACTCTTTCATTTTCCAAATATCTCTTTCTGTATATTCCTCGAGAACTAGATTGATTCATACTCTTATAGTTTCCAAATATCTCTTTCTGCATGTTTCTCGAGTCCCAGATTGATTTATACACTTTTATTTTTCAAATGTCTCTTTCTGAATGTTCTTTGAGTTCCACAGTAATTCACACTCTTCTTTTCAAATGTCTATTTCTGCATGTTCCTTGACTCTCAGACTAATTCGTACTCTTATATTTTCCAAATGTCTTATTCTGCATGTTCCTTGAGTCTCAGACTAATTCGTACTCTTTTATTTTCCAAATGTCTCTTTCTGCATGTTCCTTGAGTCCCAGATTGATTCATTCTCTTTTATTTTCCATTACATTAAGTTCAAAGGATATCCCCTTTTGGAAATTCTAAATTAACGATCTGAACATGTCGTTATGATATAACTCTACGAGTATTTTGTGTCAGAAAGGGCTGATATAAACCCTACCCAAACGCGATAAGGTTTTGTTAACATCATGCTATGTACCAAGCGCAAAACAATGTCCAATTATAATTCTGATTCTTGCCGACTTTTTATTGGCTGTGGTTTGCACGTGACTTACTGTTTATTCTCAAAACATTTAATATATTCATTTCATGAAAAGTGTTACACATTAGTTTGTGTTCATATGAGTAGCAATAGACTTACATATTTTGGTTTTCCAAATGTTACCCGAGAAATCTTGGTTTTCTGTGGCTCAGCAGTAAGTCTGAAGGATTATAACTCTAACAACTTGGTTTCAAAACTCGTAATGGGCACAGCATAGGTAGCCCATTGTGTAGCTTTGCGCTTAACAACAAACAAACCAAATTTTTGTTTGGTTTGCTTCTCTGTATTTTTCAGGTTTCATATATACCGAACTTTATGCATTTAGACATGTTACACAAAACATGTATTGTAAAAGAAAACATATTTCACTGTAGCACTTTGTAAAATTTATTAGAATATAAGTGGAAATAGTAACAGCAGAAATCTGACAGCAGCTTGTGCATAAGTAGTGACAAAATAAAAATTGTTTTTTTCATAATAAATACTTCAAGTTTGTAGAATTACGTAATAATTGAAGTATTTTGTGCTTTATGAAAGCACTTTTTATACGACTTTACTTTTCTATGCTTTAGATAATAAATAAGTACAAGCAATTTGAAAATATTAAGTTAAATAAATAATGATCAGAAAACGACGAAAGCTCACAAACCAAACGTCAAGCTTCCACACACGCTTCAAAAACGACAACTATTTTCATGGAAAGATGCCAAAACATTAGAGTTAGAACAATCCCATTCAACAATATACTAGAATTACAACAATCTCATTCAACAATATACTAGAATTACAACAATCCTATTCAACAATATACTAGAATTACAACAATCAAGTTCGACTCTACTAGCAAATTAGCTCCAATAGACGTTTTGTGTATTTGGGCTGCTTAAACATGATCTGTGTAATTACTTTCTTTTCATTTATAATAGTAATACATTATTATTTTATTTACATTCCAAAAATATAGACATATAAGCTTCAAAATATGGCTCTTACGAATCGTGGTTTTATTTATTAAGTCATTTAAAGATGCAAGCATGTTACATTTTAAACTGTTGTTAGTTCAGTTGGTAGTATTAGAAATGGTTTTATCAATTTTCTGTTCTGAGTGGTGTATCAATAAGAAAAAAACAAATTATTACTGTAAGACATACGATGGATTTTCTTGAACTGATTAGCGTTACTTAGTTTGTGTTAAACACCAGTAAATCTAAATATGCAGATTATCAATACTTTATACATATGTTTGTGTGAAACACTAACAGCTATAAAGTAGTCTACATGTAGATTGTCAATACTTTGCACATATGTTTGTATAAAACACTAACAGCTATAAAGTAGTCTACATGTAGATTGTCAATACTTTATACATATGTTTGTGTGAAACACTAACAGCTATAAAGTAGTCTACATGTAGATTGTCAATACTTTGCACATATGTTTGTATAAAACACTAACAGCTATAAAGTAGTCTACATATAGACTGTCAATACTTTACACATATATTTGTGTAAAACACTAACAACTATAAAGTAGTCTACATGTAGATTGTCAATACTTTACACATATGTTTGTGTAAAACACTAACAGGTATAAAGTAGTCTACGTGTAGATTGTCAATACTTTACACATATGTTTGTGTAAAACACTAACAGCTATAAAGTAGTCTACATGTAGATTGTCAATACTTTA